ATTGCAGGAATGCTTTTTCTCCCTGTTTACTTAAGAGATAACCTATATGGAAATGAACCCCAAGATAAGTATTTAAATGTTTTTTACTTTCATGCGATTGTTTCTAACATATTTATAAGATGATTTCTTTGTAGCTTTGTATGTCCCTCCTCCACGATATAGTCCTTGCTTTCACTGTATTTGATATTGCTATAATTTGTGGAGGGGAAGGGAAAAAACAAATCGTTTAAATAGGGATACAGGTAGACCCATTGCAACAATGAGATGTACAAGTCGTTATGACGAATTTTACAACTTTGGTGGGGGGGGGTGTTGATATGGGAAGGGATAGGAAGGAGAAACAAAGGAGGAAGCAACAATGCTTGATAAGAAATGTACTCATTATCTTGCCCATGTAATTGTAACTCCTCTGTACTGTATTTTCATAATAAAAAAATTTTTTTAAAGAGATAACCTACATGATTTGCATTCACATCAATTGCTCCACTGATGATATTCAGATTTCCCCACACAATTCTTTTGTTTCAGCTGGCTTTTGTTCAGTCTGGGAGGTAACACAAATGTCAACACATTTGAGTGCCAGTGAAAATGAAACATTAATATAAAAAGGCAACTACTACAACCAGGCTATATTATATACAAGAAGTAAATAAATATTATTTACTCTTGACTCATCTACCACACTAAAGCCCAGAGTCAATTGACTGTAAAGGGGATTTCATTTGGACTCCATAGATAACATTAGTTGTTTTTTTGCTCTTTGACATCACATAGATTATTTTTAAGTATTATCTTTGCCTAACTCTTTAAAATGCTAAAAGGTGATAGCAGTAATTTTTATTCACAGGAACTAATTTCACTCTGAAAAATACACATTTCTAAACTGTATATCCATGTACTGTTAATTTAAAAATCAAAGTGGCTATTTGTAAAGGATGATGATTAGTAGTAGTTGTATTTTATTGTAAAGGCAATGTACAGAGGGGTGGTAGTTATGTAACTTTAAAAAATGAGTATAATTCTTGTAGAACATTGTTACCCACTGCCTTATTTTCTTCCACTTTCCTTCCCCCCATATCTCCCATCCCTGCCAAGTTGTAAAGTTCATTTCCAACATAATGTCTCATAAGTATTGTTCTTGCATTGGCTCACTGTTTGTCCTTTGTCTCATCATTTCAGTGTCTTTATTAAGAAAGTTTTGATAACAAAATGCTGAAATAAGGATAGAGCATGACTTTTTTTTCCTTTTTTTTAAAAAAATAAGTTTTTGATTGTGAAAATACTGCACAGAGGGGTTACAATTACATGAGCAAGGTAATGAGTACATTTCTTATCAAGAATTGTTGCCTCCTCCTACCATCCCTTCCCTCCCACCTCCTCAACTACACTGCCCCCCCCCCCACCAACATTGTAAAGTTCATTTTTGACATAGTGTTTTGTACATTTCCTTGTTGCAATGAGTCAACCTGTATCCCTATGTAAACATTTTTTCCTTTCCCCTCCTCAAATTATACCAACATCAAATACAATGAAAACAGAGGTTATACCGTGGAGGAGGGACATACAAAACAAAAAAAAAATCACATGGTACTTTATAAATATGTTAGAAACAATATCAAGAAAGAAAAAAACCACTGTGTCCCTATCTTGGGGTTCATTTCACTTAACTTCGCCTTATCTGACCTTTTCTACTTGTCCCAGACATATACTAGTTGTTGCAAATAAGGGAAACCATGGAACCTATGTTTCTTTGGGCCTGGCTTACTTCACTTAATATAATTTTTCCAAGTCTTTCCATTTCCTAACAAATGGGGCAATGTCATTCTTTCTGATGGAGACATAGAATTCCATTGTGTGTGTGTGTGTGTGTGTGTGTGTGTGTGTGTGTGTGTGTGTCACATTTTCTTGATCCATTCATCTAATGAGGGGCATCTAAGTTGGTTCCATATCTTAGCTATGGGAAATAATGCTGCAATAAACAGTTGTGCTGGTAGCTTTAGTATGACCTTGTTTGTGAACATCTGGGTAAATGCCCAAAAGTGGGATTGCTGGATCATAGGGGAGTTCTATGTGGAGTCTTTTGAGGAACCTCCATGCTGCTTTCCAAAGTGGTTGAACAAGTTTACACTCCCACCAACAATGCAGTAGGGCTCCCTTCTGGCCATATCCCCTCCAGCAACTGTTGTTATTAAATGTCTTGTTTATAGCCATTCTAACTGGGGTGAGGTGGAATCTCAATGTTGTTTTGATTTGCATCAAGACAGCTTGGTACTGGCACAAGAACAGACCTCAGAACCAATGGAATAGAATTGAAAGCCCAGAAATGAACCCACAGACTTGTAGCCACCTAATCTCCGATAAGAGAGCTAAAAAAAAATAGAATGGAAGAAAGACAGCCTCTTCAGTAAATGGTTCTGGAAAAATTGGTTAATCACCTGTAGAAAACTAAAGCTAGATCCTTATATATCACCCTGAGCCAGAATCAACTCCAAATGGATCAAAGACCTTTGAGTCAAAGCAGACATACCCTGAAAATATTACAGGAAGGAATAGGAGAAACCCTAGGTCTCCTTGGCACAGGCAGAAATTTTCTTAACAGAGACCCAGGAATACAAGAAATCAAAGATAGATTGGACAAATGGGATTGCATGAAGTTGCAGAGCTTCTGTATAGCAAAGGACATAGCTAGCAAGATCAATAGAAAGCCCATAGATTGGGAGAAGATCTTCACTAGCCATTCAGTGGACAAGGGTCTCATATCTAAAATATACTTAGAACTCAAAATTAAATCCCCCAACAACAAATACTCAAAGAAACAACTGCTGATAAACAAGTGGGCTAAAGACTTAAAGAGAAAGTTCTCTGAAGAGGAAATAAGAATGGCCAATAGACACATGAAGAAATGCTCAACCTCCCTAGGCATAAAAGAAATGCAAATCAAAACAGCATGACCTATTGTAACAATGAGATGCACAAGATACTATGTTTTACAACTTTGGCAAGGGGGAAGGCCTGGAGTGGGTGGGGGTGTAAGTTGGTAAGATGGATAGGAAAGTTGATGGTAGGGGGAAAACAAAGGAGGGGGTAACAATGCTCAATAGGAAATGGACTCACTACCTTGTTCATCTAACTATAACCCTTCTGTACAATAAAAATATATATTAAAAAGGAAAAGTAAATAGAGAAAAGGTATTGTAATTATTTTCGCTGACTACTTATAATTTTCATAAATATGAACTTTTGTGCATTAAAAAAAAAGAAAGTTTTGACCCTGGCCAAGGAGTCCTAGTATTTCCCCTATTCCTTTCTGCAATATTTTCAGGGTATCTGTTTTACCTCAAGGTCTTTCATCCATTTGGAATTGATTCTGGTGCAGGGTGATATATAAGGATCTGATTCAGTTTTCTACACATATATAGCCAGTTCTACCAGCACCATTTGTTGAAGAGGCTATCTTTCTTCCATCCTGTTTATTGGTTCCATTATCAAAGATTAGGGGGCCATAAGTCTGTGGGTTCCTTTCTGAGTCTTAAGTTCTATTCCATTGGTCCTCAAGCCTATTCTTGTGGCAGTAACCAAGCTGTTTATGTAACTACAACTTTACAATAGAATTTGAAGTTTGGTACTGATATTCATCCAGTACTGCTCTTGCTGCTAAGGATTGTTTTTGCTATTCGGGGTCTTTTAGTATTCCATTTGAATTTTTGGATTGCTTGTTCTATTTCAGTTAAGAATGATTTTGGGATATTGATGGGTATTTCATTGAATTTGTGGATAGCTTTTGGCAGTATTTCCAATTTCATGATGTTAATCCTCCCAATCCAGGAGCATAGGAGGCTTTCCACTTCCTTATATGTATAATTTCCTTTTTCGGGTTTCTAAAGTTTACATCTGTAGAGGTCTTTCACATCTCTGGTGAAGTCCTAGACATTTTTGAGACTATTACAAAAGGAATTGCTTTCCTGATTTCAGCCTCACCATTCTCATTGTTAGTAAACAGACAAGATATTGATTTTTGTGGGTTAATTTTATACCCTGCTACTTTAACAATGTGTTGTTCAGTATCCATAGGTTACAATTGTTGCTTTTGGTGTTGAGATCTAATTTTATTCCACTGTGGGATGAGAGTATTCAGGGAGTAATTTCAGTATTTCTGAATTTGCACAGATTTGCTTTGTGACCTGAAATTATATCTATTTTGGAGAATGTTCCATGTGCTGCCACGAAGAATGTATATTCTGATGCTGCTGGGTAAAATATTCTGTAGATGTCTGTTAAGTCTAGCTGGTTCATGTAATTGTTTAGTTCTGATATTACTCTGTTGAGTTTTTACCAATGTATTTGGATCTATGTGTGATTTGGGGGTTTAGTGTTTGCTTGATGCATTTGGGGGCACCAACATTTGCTGTATACATATTTAGAATTGTTATATCCTCCTGTAGGAGTGATCCCTTTATTAGTAATGTCCTCCTTTGTCTTTTCTCACTGATTTTAATCTGAAGTCTATTTTATCTGATATTTGAATTGCAACTACAGCCTGCTTATGGGGATTGCTTGCTTGATAGAGTTTATTCCAGCCTTTTACTCTCAGAATATGTTGACTTTTGTGGACAAGGTGTGTGTCTTGAAAACAGCAGATAGATGGATCTTGCTTTTTTATCCAACTAGTCAATCTATGTCATTTAATTGGAGAGTTAAGTCCATTAATATTAAGATTAGGATTAAAAGGTGTTTGGTAGTTCCTGCCATGTTATTCATCTTCTTAGTGGCTATGCCACATCAATTCTTACTATCATTATCTGGTTCTCTGTGTAAGGACCATTTCACTACCAATATCATGTTCTTGGTTGTCTATATGTAGAATGTCTTGGAGTATTTTCTGTAATATTGGTTTGGTGGAGATATATAGTTTCCATTTTTCCTTGTTGTAGAAGGAGAATTTAGCTGGATTCACTCTTCTTGGTTGGTAGTTTGTCTTTAAGGTGTGACATGCTGTGGTTGCTGGGCTAGCTCAGTCGGTAGAGCATGAAACTCTTATTCTCAGGGTCATGGGTTCAAGCCCCATGCTGGGTGAGCTTTTTTACTTCAGCACTTTCCCGATCCTCCATATTCCTCAATGGTGGCTTTAGAAACAAGGCTCATTAGGGAGTGATGCTGTGAACATGTGTGAGAATGTCACAGTGAAATCTTCTCCCATAACTAATGTAAGATGTGACATACCTCACCCTGCATCTAGAGAAGTGTATTTACACTTCTCTAATTCAGGGAGGGGAAGGGAAAATGCTTAAATAAGGATACAGGATTACCCATTGTAATAATGAGATGTACAAAACACTATGCTGAAAATGAACTTACAACTTCGGGGAGTGAACTTACAACTTCGGGGAGGGGGGGAGATACTTGTGGAGGTGAGAGGGAAGAGATGGTAGGGGGAAAACAAAGGAGGAGGCAACAATGCTCAATAGGAAATGTACTCATTACCTTGCTCCTGTAACCCCTCTGTACAGCATTTTTACAATAAAAAAAGGTACCCAAAAAAAGGGGGGGAAAATGTGGCATACCTCACTCAGTCCAGGCTCGCTTTGCTTTTGTGGTCTCTGCTGAGAAATCTGTAGTTATTCTGATCGGTTTTCCTTTACAAGTCATTGATTTTTTTTCTCCCTGACAGCTTTAAGGATCCTTTCCTTGGTCTCTATTTAACCTGTGTGGATTACAATGTGAATGTGGGATGTCCTGTTCTGGTCTAATTAGATGGGGGTTCTCAAGGCTTCTTGTATATGAATGGGCCTATCCTTTTAGACATTTGGGAAATTCTCTGTTAGAATTCTGTTAAATATATTTCCTATCATTTAGACTCCTTCTGTATACCCTCAATACCTATTAGCCTTAAATTACATCTTCTGATTGTGTCTTTCAGTTCCAAGAAACAAGATTTGTTTTGAATAATTTTGGATTTGTTTTGAATAATTTTCTGTTCTTTAGCAATACAGTCTAGGCTATCTTCAACTCCCGAGATTCCCTTTCTGTATAGTCCAATCTGCAGTCAAGACTTTCTACTTTGTTTTTTATTTTCCTGCCTTCCAATTGGTCATTTTTTATTGCTTCAATTTCTTTTTTGGGTGGGGAGGGGGAGTTGTGTGGCCTGAACTCTGGGCTTGGGCGCTGTCCCTCAGCTCTTCAGCTCAAGGCTAGCGCTCTACCACTTGAGCCACAGCGCCACTTCCGGCTTTTTTCTTTTTGCTTATGTGGTGCTGAGGAATCGAACCCAGGGCCTCAGGCATGCAAGGCACGCGCTCTACCACTGAGCCACCTTCCCAGCCCCTCTTTGTTGAAGATTTATTTTAGGTCTTGTATGGACTCCTTTACTTCCTTGATTTGGTTCTCATTGTTCTCTCTCAAATCCTTTAGCTGAGTGGCTATATTTTCATTGGAATTCATTCTGTTGGAATTCATTCAGCTTCCTGTTTATGGATTCTATTAATTCATCTATTAATCTTTAGTTAACTTCGTCATGGTCATAATAGCTCTGCTCAGGTTTTTCAATCTTTTCATTCAGCATATTTACCAGTAGTATTTGAAGACCATTTTCAGAACTATCCTCTAAGTTTTTCATTGACAGTTCTATTGCTTGTTTATTTTCAGTGGTAGTTAAAGTTCCTCAGCTTGCCATTTTTCTTGTGTTTCTATGGTTTGTTCTGCCCATTTGGAAATGAAAGCAAAACCAATACCACAGCATAACACACAATTTTTTTTAATCAGTCATGGAGCCTAGCTCTGGGCCTGGACACTGTCTCTCAGCCCTTCAGCTCAAGGCTAGCACTCTACCACTTGAGCCACAGCACCACTTCCAGCTTTTTTTTCTGCTTATGTGGTGCTAAGGAATCAAACCTAGAGCCTCATGCATGCAAAGCTAGTACTCTATCACTGAACACAGAACACAATATTAAGACAAGAACCAATCTATATTTGCACAGGCTTAAAATCATAGATAGGTATTTTCTCTCTCTCCTTTGGGATATAAAAACAGATCCAATACCACAACAGAGCACAATTTTAAGACAAAAACAAACTCCAAGCCCTGTAATTGCATAGATAGGTATTCCTCTATCTATGTCTCCTTTTCTTTGTTTGGAGAGGAGTATTGTGGTTCAGGAATGGGGATTAAACATAGATGTGACCAGTAAACAAATCTGCTGTGAGCAATAAAGCAACTGAACTGAAAGGACAATACAATAAGTCAATTAGAGAGTCAAAATGGATACAAATGCTTTCTAGCTCAGACATACAACTAGGGATCAATGGATTAAAGAAAACAAAGAAGGGGGCTGGGAAAGTGGCTCAGTGGTAGAGTGCTTGCCTTGCATGCATCAGGCCCTCGGTTCGATTCCTCAGCACCACATAAGCAGAAAAAGCTGGAAGTGGCGCTATGGCTCAAAGTGGTAGAGCACTAGCCTTGATCTGAAGAGCTGAAGGACAGTGCCCAGGCCCAGAGTTCAGGCCCATGACTGGCAAAAAAACAAACAAACAAACAAAAAGAAAACAAAGAAGAAATGAAGGACCAGAAATAAAGAGGAAAATGGGTTAAGGTGAATTTAAAAGAAAGATTGAGCAATATAATGAGAGGGGAAAATAAGAATAGAGGAATATTGTCGGAGTGGGGAGGGAGGGGGGGTTTGATTGGGTGGGGGGGGAGGGGGGAGGGTGGGAAGGGAGGTGAAGGGTAAACAAAGGAGGAGGCTGCAATGCTTGGTAAGAAATGTATGCATTATCCTGCCCATGTAATTGTAACCCCTCTGTACAGTATGTTCTCAAATAAAATAAAATTAAATTAAAAAAAATACAAAAATAAATAAAAAAAGAATAGAGGAATATATAAGAAGGAAAGGAACAGAATAAAGAAAACTAGGACTTAAATTCAGAAAAAAATGTATAAATGTATAAAATAATACTAAAATTAAATATACTAACATTGATTGTGAAATAGAAAATTGAGTAATAAAAAATACACTCTGAACTAAGTATGCACACAATTAAGAAGGAAGCCTAATAATCATTGTAGGCTGTATATCTAGGACTAAACAGAACATCAATAAAGGAAAACTAACTAAATAAATAAATAAATTCTTCAATTTGTTTGGGGGACCTTGTGTCTCCCCTATGTCCACTATCCAGTCTCTTGATTGAGCCTTTGATTTCCTTGTCCTGGTCAGTTTTCCTTGCAGCTTAGTTGGCCTCTCAAATCAGTTTGTCTCAGCAGGCAGAAAAAGTTCTGCCTTACAAGTTTGGAGTCTTTGTACCCCTTTTCTTTTTCACTGCAGAGGGCCAGGGCTGCCTCTTGCTGTGCTTGCCCTGGATAAAACTGTCCCTCCCTGGGAGACGCTTCCTCTCACTAGGCAAGGCTGCCTTTTCCTGAGCAGAAATGTCTCTCACTGATCAGATTCCTTTGCCCTGTTGAAAAATGGTGCTGCAGCTGCTGTTTCTCTGGCCTGCATTACCTGCTAACTGCTCCGGCAAGCTCTTTGCCAGTCTCAAAGATGGCTTCTTCTTGGATGGGAGGAGGGCTTCCTTCCAGAAGTTGTTCTCTGAGGAGTGAGAATGACTTCTGTGGGTCACTCATGCTTTCCCTTGGTGTTTCAGACCATCCACAATCTGCAACAGTCTGTGGCCAGCAGGATGTTGTTTTCAGTTCCTAGTCATCCAGTTCATGCTGGAGGTGAGTGAAAAGCCTAGCACACACTGACTGGTGCCTTTGTCCTGGCTCTCTCTAGCTGCTGCTACTGCTGCAGCCACCAGCACTAGCATATGCTCAAATCTCTCTTCTTAAGCAGGCTGCCTGTATTTTTCCTCTCTGGCAAAAATCTCTGTACAATTACAACTCACTTGGTATGACTCTAAAGCTCTGATTTCTCAGAGAGAGCTCAGTTAACCCCTGTCTATACCTCCACCATCTTCCTTCTTTTCCCCTACGATGAGGATGATGATGATGTGTGCCAGTAGTGGGACCTGAACGTTATCCATTAGCATTTTTTGCTCAAGGCTAGCTCTCTATCACTTGATCCACACCCCAATGCCCAGCTTTTTGCTAGTTAATTGAAGATAACAGTCTCACAGACTTTTCTACCTGGTGGACTTCAAAGTAGAATCCTCAGATCTCAGCCTCCTAAGTAGTTACAGTTACAAGCATGAGCCACAAGAATTTTTTAACATTTGTTAGCAAATTTAACATATTGCAAGGTTTATATACTAAAAACTATAAAACATTGCTGAAACAAAACATAAATGTAAGTCAATAGAGAAAATAATTCATATTTATACACTGAAAAACATAATAGCATAATTGTTAAGATGTCAGTTCTTCACAAATTGATACACAGATTCAAGAGGGTCATTATCAAAAATGCAACAGATTTTTCTCCCAGAAATTAAAAGGATGATCCTAAAATTCATATGGAAATTCAAGGGATCCCAATAAACAAAACAATTTTAAGAAAATGAACAAAGCTGGAGGACCTATGTTTCTCAATTTCAAAACTTACTTCAGTATTCAAGACAGGATACAATTTCTGGATTTGTTGCTTAGTGATAGAACACCAGCGTAGACATAAGGCCCTCAGTTCAATCCTCAGTGCAAACAACAGTCTTTTCAACAATTGATTTGTATACAGTTTGATATTCAGTGACTTAATTTGAGGCCTTCTCTCATACCATATTTAAAAATTAACTGAAAATAGATCAAAAACCTAATTTTAAGAGCTGAAATCGTAACTATTAGAAGAACAAGTATAAACTTTCAAAATCTTGGGTTCAGTTTTTTAAGCAAGACATCAGAAGCACAAAGGAAAAAATATACATTTTATCCAATTTTGTATTTCAAAGGAAATATTCCAATAAAACTAAAAACTAACTGTGGATGAAGGAAATACTTCCATATAATTTATGGTGATAACAGTCAATTGTTGAAATTATGTAAAGTGCTGTTACAATTCAACAACTGAAAGAAAACTCAAGTTTTTTAATGGGCAAAGATTTGAGCAGATATTTCTACAAAGAAGACATACAAATAACAAATAACC